TACACATGAATCCCAAAGTTCAGGGGTTAAAGTAAGAAGTAAGTTCAAAGTATTCTCATTGATTTTTTTATGCTTTCCCACCACACTCTTACCATTTTAAACTAATTTCTGTGGGTTCTCCAGCACCTTGGTTATGGGCATGTGATAATTTGTTGCTGGTCAACCCATCCCTTCTATTTTCACATTGAAAAATATTAATCTTGTACATGCATTTTCCTCTACTTTTGAATCTTAATTGAAGACTTCTATTATCTCTGAATGTTTGTAACTCTTTACTATGTTCTAGTTTGTTTTTGTTTTCATTTTATGAAGTGAAGATGCTGCTTGTGGATGGTGCTGCACAACTTAATAATAATTTCAAGATTTACTTGTTTTGGAGAATATAATTAAAAAGAGTAGCTCTAACATTTTTTCAATGATGCCCTATAGAAAGGATTCTCTATTTTTTATACCTTGTGTCTCAAAATTGGGCTGACATTTTGAATAGTTTGTGTCCCTTTCTTTGAAGTTTGTTTCTTTGGGATTTTAATAAATCTTATAAGTTTTCAGAAATCCTCCTTTATCTCTTAACATTAAAATTGCTAGCTTTAGGAAAATGACGGTCACCTGTTGTCTTTTGCATATTCCCTGTTGCAATGGGTCATTTAATTTTAGCTCTCCAGCTTTTGCAGCCCTCCCTCTCCCCACAAAAGAAGAGCCACTCCCAAACTCTAAAATGCTTCAGCTACCCTCTCTCTTACCTGCCCCCCAAAAGGTGACAAAAAAACTTGACCTGATCCTAGCTGCTTTAACCTGTCTGCCACCCGTTCCCATCTGAACAACTCAACCTGCTGCCCAGGAAATTCAGTGATGAAGGGGTCAACTTGAATTTCTACACTCCCAATGAATGCACTTACACAGTTCCTCTAGACTCAGAACTGTAAATGCATCAAACAAGTTACGGTAAGCAAGCCTATTAGAATTCTTCATTAAATTTCAAATAAAGAATAGCAGACAAATGGTAACCTGATCACCAGATTACAGCATTCCTTGTGAAAGTTCCTGTGCTTAAAAATGACATAATTGTGTACCAAGGAAGGTAATTGCCAAAGGAAGGGAAGATAGTCCCTGTTGTGATAATATGGTGGTCAATGCCACGGATTGTTGTTTTTTCCTGATGTTTTCTTATAAAAATGGTGAGTAAGGCCCTGATCTTTGAATAGGCCAGTCAGCAGAAATTTAAACTATGAGTCACTGGAAACAGCTTGAAATGGCATCCTTCAACAAAGGAGCTGTGCTCCTGCACTGATGCCCATGTGTAAGGGTGGCTTCAAGAATCAAAGCCTCAGTCAATTAAAATCAGACCTTTTGTATTGTTATACATGGATATACAAGCTCCATGCCTCCATGTACACATTGGACCATGGTGTTTTGCAGGTGTTGCTAATATTTGCCCTAGTGTGTCAAAAACATTGCCGTAAGGCGCATATACTGAATGTAGCCTGTATAGAGACCCTTTTGTGACCCTTGTGTTATTATATTTTAAGATTAAGGCAAAAGAAGTTCTTAAGGGAAACAAATATACTTGTTTTTGCAACTTGCTGAGTGTTTGTTCCTCTAACATTTTGGCATAGTTCCTGAATCGCTGGAGTTAGAGTAATATCTTTAGTTGTCTCATCAGCAGACAGCAGGATGTCAAAGCTTACTGTTTTCTTTATGCCTATCCTCCCCCTCCTTCAGCCAATGATTTTGGCAAGTCCTCAGATGGGAGATCTGAACCTAATGTTTCTTGGGATGTTTAAAAATTCCCACTCCTAGTTCAGCTGTGCACATGTTGCAAACACTGAAAATTAAGGCACTTTGTGTGCACTTGAAAAACGCCGTGTTCTAGTGTGATGTGGATGTGCATAACACATGAAACGTGATCAGAATAAACATTTTTGTGCCTTCTTTGAGCTTTCTAAAATTAAAATGGCGGCGGGGGGGGAAGGAACCTCAACCATAATATGTCAAAGTTCTTATAGACTCTGACTTTGACTTTGAACTCCATTATTCCACTTTTACACTGATTGGCTCCCTCTATGTTATCCTCATGAATTGGTAGGAAATAACGATAATGAAAATGTCCCAGGCCTGTACAACAGCCAGCACCATAACAGTCTGTTTAATTAATGGTTTTATGTACATTTTGTTCAGAATCATTTCTGAGGTTTTGGTTGATGAGGTTAGCTGTTACCAGGGATGCGGTTTCAGTACAGTGGTTGCCATTTAAAAGTCAATATCACTGTACCAACAGTTACCACACAGTAGTATCTGAGATAACACAATTGTTACCAATACTTTTTGACAGGAAATATCTGCATTGTCTCCAGGATCATGAGCATTTGTAGGAAAATATTGACTCTTTAACAATGACCACTGTAAATATTGTATACTGATTTACACAATCTCTGTTTCTGAATACCCACTCGTTGATTTTGTCCCCTCTGGTGAGGGTGGTAAGTTGAACTTGCTGAAATGGAGCCATCAGTATGCAGTTAATATTAGAGCTGTGTGAATTCTTTGCAGCAAGAATTTGAATCCCTTCAAACTGAGCGTGGGTTTCAGGTTTGCTACATTTTGCCGATTGAGAGAGGGAAGTTTCCATTGTTAGAAAATCTATTCACTTTCTCCCCCTAACCAGATAGGGGTTCTCTGGGGATAGAGAGGTAGGATGCTTCTGGAAGGTACAAGTTATAATCAGACTTGAATCACCAGGCAAACATGCAGGGGTTGGTTTGTAGCCAATGCCTGCAAACCAAACCACAGGGTTCAGTTTGCAAACACTATTGCAAACTGAACCCCGCAGGGTTTCCACAGCTCTAGTTACTATTATTGCTCCTGGTGAGGCTTATTATCCTGTCACAGAAGATGTAAGAAAATCCATCTCTCCACTTTAAACATCATAAGCCTTTGTCACCTACAACACAATTAATGTTAAAAATAGAACAGTGCCTATGATAAGATTGTGACTTGCAGGCGATGAGCCATTGTCCAAGTAACAGGGACTTATCTGGAGGGCCAGTCAACCTACACAGAACTGTCAGTTTGCTGATTGCCATTTCTCTCTGAGTTTGATGAAATATTCATGTCTCTGCTCTGCTCTCTGGAAGCACTATTGATTTCTTGTATAAACGCTGCTATATTTAGTCTAGACAAATGGAATGTGGATTGCAGCTGAATAATTTGGATGAAAGGCTGGGTTCTTGACTGCTGCTTTCTCTTGGTCTTGGGCAATTATTTATAATCAAGAGTAGTTTTTGTAAGTTAAGGGTGATTTTTTACAATTTAGTGATTAGTCTCAGAACAAAAGCAAGCAGTTAGGCATAATCATTCTGTTGGGATAGCAGGTTAAGAAGTCAAATTATGCTTTGAGGTTTACAATCACTGTTTCAAGGAGTAAAACAAAATGTTTGATGTTACCAGTTTATTGACAGATACAGAATATAATAAAAAGGGAAAGATATGGTGTCTCATGTCTTCCTTTAAAAAAAAAAGTTTATTTTTTATTTCGCATGTGTCAGATGCCAAAGTATACCCAACAGATTTTAGCATATGCTTAGAACTCAGCTGAATCTGTTGGCTGTGAGTTTTAACTTTCACAGCCAGCATACTTCTACTATTTGTTGGAATGTTTCTACTGTATTCTGTCCCTCTCTTCTTTGTTTTGAACTGAGGGAACAATAAAAGTAAATAAAACATGAGAGAAAATATGTATAGAAGTATGTGCAGCTCATCATTTTGAGACACTGTATTTATAGCCACTCAATTTTTTTTCAATAGAAATAGTTGCAGTGAACTAGTGTGTTTGTTTATAATTCCCCGTTAGTGAATTGAAACACTGCCCAGACAATGCTCAGTGAGAACTGCTCAGACCCTATACTGCCAACTACCAATGGAGATTCTCTTTTAGTACAAGTGGTAGGTGCTTAGGGTTCTACCCCCCACAGTTGATATGAAAACCCAAACAGACCTGCTGTGTAGCATAGTGAAAATCATTAAGTTTGTATATACCCTTGGATTTAATTCAGGGAATGAAAGATCATGAGATTCTTCATTACCCGGTTCTATGTTGTGTTAGCAATTTATTCCATTACCGAGGATGAATTAAAACAGTCTTTTTAGCAAGATCTTTTCATTCCATGATGAGTAATGTATAGTACATCTCTACCCCGATATAACGCGACCCAATATAACACAAATTCGGATATAACGTGGTAAAGCAGTGCTCCAGGGGAGCAGGGGTGCGCGCTCCAGCGGATCAAAGCACGTTCGATATAACACAGTTTCACCTATAACGCGGTAAGATTTTTTGGTTCCCGAGGACAGCGTTATATCAGGGTAGAGGTGTATGTGCCACATTCTATCTACTATAAGTATGTGAGTGTTCATTATTTAAAACCACCACATTAAAATTTAAAAAATGTGTTTTCCCCATTTTTGTCCCGTATAATCCTGTGTGTCTTCCTCTGTGCTTAGCACATTTATGGCTCTCACTGCATAATGCAGAATATCTGTACAGGTGTAAAATCATATTCAGTCAGTCTGAATGTAAGCTTTCTCCATTGAGAATAAGAACCGACACAACTTCAGGGCCTTCATCTTATGCCAAACACCACAAGTATACTAAATGTGTATTGTTACACAATGTCTCACCAATTAAACTAAATAATGCTAAGTCAGCAAATTGCTGACATGTTGCGCAATGTTTTGTAGGAGCTGGGTTCTCATTATTCCACAGGGGGACATTTCTTTAAAAAATGGGAGGAAAGTAATAGGATGGTGTATGAATGTGTTAGATGGCTAGTGGAAATGACTAGATTTTGCATATGGCTTACAATGACAGGCATTTTGCTAACTCGATAAATTGAAGGAATTTGGGGTGAAATTAAATTATTTCTCCCCAATATGCAGCATAAATTCATTTTTGTCTGCATTCATTTATATATTTTCCTGTTGTTGTTGTTGTTGTTGTTTTATAGTGGATGTAAAGTCAGAGGTTCCTGTGGGATTGGAGCCCATCACCCCACTGGACTTGCGAACAGATCTCAGGATGATGGTTCCCATTGTGGACCCAATTATGCGTGAAAAGCAGCTCCAGCAGGAGCTACTTCTGATCCAGCAGCAGCAGCAAATTCAGAAACAACTTCTGATTGCGGAGTTTCAGAAACAGCATGAAAACTTGACCCGACAGCACCAGGCCCAGCTCCAGGAGCACATCAAGGTAGCAAAATCTTTCATTTATCGTGGGGCTCCTCCAAAGTAAGCTGAATATTCTCAGCTGACTACTGGAAAGGGTGTGCTCCTCTCCTGGAAGTTTTTGTGTGATTTAAAGATGTAGTTTGAGTGATTATTGTTGTCCATGTGCACGGTATAGAGAAGTGATGGAAACCCATACTGGATTGGATGGTGATAACATTTGGCTATTAAAAGAAGAATTTCAAGCATAATTGGTAGAGGCTATTGCAGTGTTGTACTATACAGGCAGCCAACCAAGGCACTCTGAATTAGAATACTCTGTCACATTCAGATGAGACCTTCTCAGTCAATCAAAGTCCACATTTTTAACCAAATTTTCAGTCAGGCCTCAATATGGCTGCCTTTTTTGTAGGAGCGATTTTGATCTGCCTAGTAAATGTGACTGGTTTTTTGTTGTTGTTGTTGTTTTTTTGCAGCTGCTTGAGTTTGTGTCCACAAATCACATAGACAGGCCTCCTGCCTTCTGATATTTGCACAAATGGATGCAGGTGCAGCAAATTTGGCACTTTGCCTCTCCAGGCTACCTCACAGAATATGAAAGAAACTGATTTATGGGATTAAACCTGTCATGGAAGAAACACTGAAGTAGATTTTTTGACTGCGAGTTTATGGTCTTGTTTTTTTTTCTTTTTCTTTCTGAAATATCTTAGACTGCCGCTCTGCTAATGTGGTGAGCCTTTCTATGATGCGCCTAACTGACAAATCCAATTGAGAATAGCATCTAGAGTCTGATGCTGCATTGGCAGAGAGTGAGAATAATGTGCAGGTTATACCCACGTTTGGCAAAAAAAAAAAAAGCAAAACCAATGCAGCCAGCTACTTTGTGATATTAGAGCTGATTTTAATGGCAGCTGATAACACAGTATTCCACCTGAAAGAATAGAAAAGTGGGTTACGGAGTAATATGAGCACAGATGAAAGCTCTTGTCTCAGCTATTGAAGTGAGTTATTTTGGCCAACACTGACCTGGACAGCGGTGCAGACTGCATTTGCTCATGTCTTTTATTCTTTGCAAGTTACAACAGGAACTCCTCGCCATTAAACAACAGCAAGAACTCCTTGAAAAGGAGCAGAAACTGGAGCAGCAGAGGCAAGAGCAGGAGCTAGAGAGACATCGCAGGGAACAGCAACTTCCTCCCCTCAGAGGCAAAGAAAGAGGCCGAGAAAGTAAGAGCCACTGTACCAGGACTCAGGATAAAAAGATGATATATCCTTCCCCTCCCATCCCCTGCAATGGGTAATGGCCAGGAGCAAGGCTAATAAGTGTGGTCCTATTCAACATTAAATATTCAGCCACAGGAGTAAGTGGTGTGCCTGCAAACTCAGCCACACTGTTAGTTTATGCAGCTGGGGGCGGGGGGGGGGGGTTGCACCACGGTTGTATATCTTCCTCTGATACCTACCTTGCCTTTGTAAAAATAAAATGCTATGTAGTTTGAAAGCACAAAGCTTCGTTTGAGATCTTCTCTCTCAGATAATTTCTTTATTACCTAATGCAGAGCGCACTACCAAACAGCAGGCTGCTTGCTAGCAAAGAAATTCATTTGAACATTGTTTCAAGATGGAAAACTTAATATAGCATTTAAGTGTATCTCAAGTGAGCACACCTGCTCTAGTTAGATCACTAGTTCTTTTCAGACGGGCATGTCAGTGTTGCTGACGCAGCTTCCTGAGATGTGCCCAAGAGTTCCGTTTCCAGCTCCAGTATGGCTTTAAGGCAAATGAAAGATAGAAAGAACATTGCTAGAATGTGATGCTCACTAGAGGGAGACAGATACAAATAATTCCCTCAGTAAGGTCAGTTTAAAACCAGATTGTTCCAGGGAATCAAAAATGTGAAGTGATTCAAAATGGAATTGCCGCAAGAAGGTATTACTACTGGTGCAGCTGAAGGAGCACAAAGAGCAAACCAGAAGAGATCTGCATACCATGCCTGCAGGATTTACATTCCTCAGCCTTTTTATTTATAAGGAAAATAGTACCCATTTAGCAGGGGCATCTATAATATGTTTTAGGTTTTAAAAACTAAAGACTCAGTGGAACTCCTATCACGTTAGTGGAAACTGCACACAAGTGTTTGAAGGCAAAATTTGACTCTGAAATTGTGTTTTTGAAAGATTTCCTCTGTTCTATTCAGGTTCTTATTTTGCACCCATCACTGTGGTTTCAGAGTGGCTTCCAGTGGTGCATTGAGCAATGGGTAGTTCTTTCCTTTTTTCACCCCACAGGAAACATTGCATGTGGATTTTTTATAACTATATGACATGTTATGTTTATATTAGCAAAGACCAGGTGGAAAAAGTGTGGCTTGCACTTGAAATGGAAGGTGGTGGGTGAGGTTTAAGGTAGTTCCCATATTCTGTGGCAGTTTGTTCTGCTGTCCCAAGTGGCCCCCAAGAAGCTCTGTCTCCAGCACAAATGAGCTTCACTCTTGCTGTGGAAAGTTCCACTGTTTTCAAGAGCAAAATTGTCAACCACAGACCTTATCTTGGAGCATTAGGTGATCTTTTAGGATCGCAAGCCCAGGTTAGTAAGTGCCTTGAAAATAAAGACTTAACTCTGGGGCTTCATGCAGCATTCTGTTAGGAGGCAGTGCAGTAGGCAGATGACAGGTTTGAGGTGCTATTGGCATTGCTTTAGTTCAGTGAAGGCATTATTTGTGGGTAACTCAAACTCAAAGGGACTCAGATAATATTTTATTTTATTTCTGTCAGCATTTCTTTTTCCTAATGATTTGGGGATATTTAAGAGTTGGTTCTGCACCTGGAAAGGATTCGCAGGAGAAAGGGACTGATTCAAAGCCCGCTGAAGTCAACTTAAATGCTACCATTAACTTCAATGGGCTTTTGGATCAGGCCCTGAAAGAGAGGTCTCCTGCAGAGTGAACATTTAATTTAGACTCTCTCCCATTTTGACTGTGATTTCCACCAGGGTTCCTTCTATTTTCCATCACTTTCCACAAGCTGTTGGCTCTTTTTTGTTTTTGTTTTTTCCCCCGGTGCTCTAGAGAATGGGAAGAGCTTTCAATCTTTATGTATTTTAGGGGCAGTGGCAAGCACAGAAGTGAAGCAGAAACTTCAAGAGTTCCTGTTGAGTAAATCAGCAACAAAAGACTCTCCAACTAATGGGAAGAATCATTCCTCGAGCCGCCACCCCAAGCTCTGGTACACGTATGTTCTGTGTTAAGCTGTTTGCATGCCTCACCGATATACTTGCTAAGGGTGGGATTCCTCCCCAATAGGAATATTGAGAACCTGTCTCCAGGCCAAAGTAAAAATTCACCCAAGAACATTAATAAAGAAACAAAATAAAAACACTCCTTACTGAACATAGTAGTATTGAGAGCCTGTACTCAAAGTGATGTACTTAGAGCTTTTCAAAACAAAGTGGTTTCAGTTCACAGGAGTTTGTATTTTTTTTCCTATTTCAGGTCCCAAGTGCCTCACTTTGCGTTTCACATTCAAACCATCCCCATCAAACTCAAAGCAGAGCTCAGCCAAAACTGTCACATTTGGAGACAGAATATGTGAATGCATCCGTTTTCCACCCACACCCATAATTTTCCCAGGTTCACTCAAAAGCTGACTCAGGCTGGCTAAAAAGCTTGTGAACCTAGGCCAAGCTTAGTGTTTATAATGATGCTAGGCAATTTTTGTCTGGCGTTAGACCTGGTTATGAAAGTTTGCTGTGGCCTTGTGGTTCACCTGCTCATGGAGAACATGCATAACAGATTGATAGACTCCGGGTGAGCCATCCCATTTCCAGAAAGGGAAGCTGATGTAATTTGAGGATCTAGGAGAGGTGGAGATTTCTTTTCAACTTTTCTGAAGTTTTAACCTCTGCTGCTATATCATTTATATAAAATCTCAAGAGATCTTGCAAATCTGACCTATTTTTCCATTGGGAATGGGTTTGTGTTTGAGTCACTCAGATTAAGACTCAGACAATGAAACAGCCTCCTTTTAGCCTCAGGTATAATGCAAAGCCATGATATTGTAGATGAAGTTAACAGATATTGTAGAATGCTGCTGTCCGGTCTAATGTGTGGGATTTTAGAAATAACTCTCTAGCATATTGAGAAGCAGTAAGGGATCTCTTAGCTTTTTTCACCATTCTTTTTGAGGTTGTTGGCCCTAGGTATCCAAGAATGCACACTGATCCCAGAGAGAGACCATGAGGACGAGGTTCTCGGGTTACTGAGGTAGTGATGCTGCTAAGCATTGCAATGGCTAAGGATTTACACTCATTCTTCCGGTCCACTTTTTTCACTATTTCAGTCCAGTCTTTTCTGCCATCTTTATCATAGCAGCTGCATCAATATAAAACAACCCTGCAAACAGGACAGTGGACATGTTTCCAAAGACTTCAGCACCATTCCTGAGTCTGCCTGGATAGAGAGAAATATATGCAGCATGCTGGTGTCACCTCCTTCCCAAGAGAGGCTTAGAGACCTGAGGAGCAAACCCAAGATTCCTACCTAGATAGTCTGTTGTGCAATCTACCAAGACACCTAGATGTCCTTGATTAAGCATTTTGATCTGGTGTTTGTTCTTTTTAAACAGTTATTAAAGGTTTCCCTCTGGGGTTTTCACTGTATTGTACAGTTTGAGAATCCTGGTAACATGTTTTAATATGTAATTACATTGTTTCCAATGGCAGTACTGTACTTAATAGTTTGTGCTATATAATGTGCACTATTCTACTAATCGTAAAATTTCTGGCCCAGCAGCCAAGAGGGAAATCTGAGGTTAGGGTCTTCAGATAAGCAGGAACTAGGAAAGCTGTAGGGATAGAATTCTCAACTCCCCAAGGGAAGGAAGCACTTCATTTTTCACATTAGCAATTCCCTTTGACAAAGGCATGTAAGATGCAAGGTTGTTGTAGCCGTGTCGGTCCCAGGATATTAGAGAGACAAGGTGGGTGAGGTAATATTTTTTTATTGGACTAACTTCTGTTGGTGAGAGAGACAAGCTTTCAAGCTCCACACAGCTTACACAGAGCTCTTCTTTGGGTCACCTGAAGAGCCTTCTGTAAGCTCAAAAGCTTGTCTCTCTCACCAACAGAAGTTGGTCCAATAAAGGATATTACCTCACCCACCTTGTCTCTCTAAAGGCATGTAATGTCATTGATGGGCCCTGCTACTTCAGAGAGAGTTGCCGCAACAGGCCTGTAAAAGAGGACAGGAGTAAAATGCGTAGATATGACCTTTCAAGAAGGGCCCCACAAGAAAAAAGCTCTGTAAATTAAGTTGTTCTTGAGCCAGATGATGCAATTCCCTTGGGCATTTATGGTTGGAAAGAGCTGCCCACAATTTTTCTTGCATTGCCCAGGTGTCAGAAAGAGCTCTCCAATGTGGGACTTCACTGCTGACACTAACTTTACGTGCTGCAAAGTATTGCAGTTATGAAGTTTCATTTGCTGCCCAAACTAAAGGCAAGGTTTTGCTTTCTCCTTTACAACTCCTGGCAAACTCATCTATATTTTTCCAGGGGAGTAACACCTCCTCTTCAAAATATTGGGTAATTGCCCTACAAAAACTGACAACTCCATAGTAAAGGCCACTTTTAATTTATATTTTTATTTAATAAACAGGAATCAAATGGCTTTGCTTCAGCTGGTACAACTTAAAAAAACCCAACAACCTAAAATGTTCAATTCCCCGATCTGGTACAGATCCTGTCTGTGGGCCAACATGACTCTTATCCTTTGACTTTTATGATAAGTGCAAAAATGGCATTCTTGGGAATACTGAGCAGTTCCATAACTTACTGTAAAAGTGAAATTGGTTACATGAGCCTGTGGTTTGTGCACACTTGGAGGAGTAAGCACATAAACACAGCTGAGACATGTGGACAACATGTGTAGACGGTTACTGCTGGTCACCTCACTTACTGCTAAGTCATGACCTCTCTGTGTCTGCTTCAGGGCTGCCCACCATACCTCACTGGATCAAAGCTCTCCACCCCTGAGTGGGGCCTCTCCGTCATACAAATACACTTTACCAGGAGCACAGGATGCCAAGGATGATTTTCCACTTCGAAAAACTGGTGAGTCAGAGAACTTTGTTCTAATCCCCTACCTCACAATTCTGCCTCACTTGGTTGTTAATCGGGCTGTTGCTTAGCAAGGTATATATCATAACCTGCAACGCCTATTCAGCCGCATGATTCATTGGAAAGGTTCAAAGGTGCTAACTGTATAATTTTCCAATTTAGATTGACCCTGTGGTGTCAAGAACCAGTATTTCCCAATGCTAGCAACTAGTACAGACTCCAGTCCTGATATATGTACTTGTTAATATTTCACAATATCAGGGGAACTTGTGCATTATTATTAATAAATCTAATATTAATTCTGGGTTTAATTTGACAATCATGGCTCTCTCTCTCTCTTTCTCACATACGGTATATACTGCATTTACATTAAGGTCTTCAGAGTTCTTTTTCTTTTGGGAGGAAGTAGATAATTATTATATCAGACCATTTTCTTTGGCTGGTTGCCAAGGTTAAATATATCTATTTTAAAATCCTTCAATGTGAAATGTGAAATGTTTTAGAAGAAAGTGTTCACTTAGAAAACAAGCTTTAGCTGAACCTCTTTTCCTGACAATAGGTGAACTGTAGACTTGACTTTGTCTACTACACCATAGAGTGTGTTAAGGGGCTGGTGGCGGAGACTCGGTGCCCCTTGCCCCAGGTTTTTGCTGTGGTGACTGGCATCCAAGAATGCAGGGAGACACTAAGGGGGTGAGGGAGAAGAGAGAAGAAAACATTAGATCCCTTATTGCATGCGGCTGATGTTGAGTGATATAGTTACATTCTGAGAGAAAGTCTACCCCCCTGCTGTGCTAACTGCCTTTGAATGTGCTTCAATCACTGGGAGATTGAAAACTAACTACAGAACTGGTACTGACATAGAAGAGAAGTGGCATTTGAAACCAGTAAGCATCCAGAAAGAAAATCCAATCTACATCTAATTCTTCAGGACAGACACTCAGCTCATGTTATATCCCCTAATGTTTTCACAAGAATAGTTTAGTGCTTGTTTTTGTAAAGAATGAAAAACAAACTGCTAATTTATTCTGGCTGAATTATTCAGTCTGCTTTTGGTACACCATGGTGGCAATATAAGGATCCTATAAAAAGCTTGCTCAGGCTATTCTGTCATAATAAGCCCTTCTGCAGTTTTTTGCTTAACGGCTTTGTACAAGATGTATTTTCTGTGCCAACATGCTAGATGTTTACATTTGTTTGGAAAACAAAAGAATGCAGTCTGCACCTTCTAAAATGCTGTGAATTTTTCTGCATTTTCAAAATGCAGGTTTTAATTTTTCTTCAATTTTTACGTATTTTAAATAGTTTGATTGATATTTATGATGTGTCAGACTGTTGATCTGTAAAACAAAACATTTTCAAACACTGTAACAGTAAAGTTCTTGTGCAGCTGTTAATACTTTTATATCTCTGTGGGGGTTTCAAAATATTCCTTAATTCAATTCCCATTGTCTGTATAAGAGGACTATAATATAATTAAATGCAGATGTTTTCCATACATTATTCCAAATATTTGGGCATGCAGTGCATCAGTTACAAATAGAACTCATAAGTATATGACTCTTTAAAAAAACACACACACCATAAATAGACAAATAATGATATGATATATTCATTAGCGTAGCAGTTTTTTTGTCACTTCAGTGTTATTTGATACTTTTACTTAAATATTCTACTATGTAAACGGAGATGATATGTTCAGTATGTCATTTCTTAGCAAAGAACTGCATTTGATAGCTCTATATATCTGTTAATATAGCAACTCTTATAAATATCTTGTTTGCCTATTAAATCACTCCCAGTAGCAGAAGAGTCTTAATTTAAGCCTTCAGCATCAGCTCCACAAAGGTTCCAATGATTGTTCCCCAGGTTCAGAGTAAAATCAACAGGAACTGGAACAACGCAAGTCAAATGACCCCAAACTGATCCGGGTGGCTATAGGGCCATCCCTTAGGCAGGGGGACATTGTGGAGCCTATGTCATTCTCATGGGACCATATCAGACAAAGATGTCCCAGGAACATTCATATATATAGACAGGCTCTCTGCCTGCAGAAATCTGACCTTTGCCACCAGGGTGAACCTTTTTTTCCCTTTTCCTGGGGCTATGAATGCTTATTGCCACTGGCTTCTACCAAAATTCTGTGATTCTGAACCTGCATGCAGTCAGCAATTGCTATGAAAATGAACCTTTACATTCTGTTGAAGGTAAGAAAGGGATACCTAAAACCCAAGTTAAGAGTTAGTTTGTAATAATAGTTCTGATTTGTTTCCCAAGTTCTTATTGATGCTCTTAACATAAAGTCAAGAGGTGTCTTTTTTTTCTTTACATTTACATGGTGCCCTCAAAGGATACTTTTGATTATATTTAGTTAGTTTAGATTCAGCATATAGGAATGAGAAGCAAAGCTGAATAATGCTATCCCAACAGCTAAACTGTGAACAAGAAACACAGTATTAGGAAAGAAACATATGTAAGTCCAGGGCCGGCGCAACCCATTAGGGCGCTACAATTTGGGGGGCGGCAACCGCGGCAGTATTTCGGCGGCAGGACCTTCCGCTGCCTCTGTGGGGGCGGCATTTTGGGGTGGGACCTTCCGCCACCTAGGGTGGCAGAAAAGCTAGCGGCGCTCCTGCGTAAGTCATGAGGTTTTCCTTTTTATTTCAGCAGACTGTTTCCCCAACCTCCCCTTCCCCATCCCATCATTGTCATCATAGGGAAATGGTGTCTTGCTACTAAATCTGTTCAATTGTATTCAAAGGTCAGACTGTAAAAGGGAGAACTACTCTACTCAAATTCTGCCTACAAGACACAAAAATCCAGAATAACTGGATATTGTAGCTAATTAGTTAGTAGTCTTGATATTTACATGCTTATCATTAGATTCCAGAGTAATCACACCACTGCAGTGATTGTGAGCCCATGTATTGTTCCTTCCCCAGAAGGTGTAGAGGGACCTGTGTGTAATAAACTTGGTGCAGTGCTAGTGCACAGGGGTTTGACACTAGTTTCGGGGCTTTAGGCCAAGGATTGCAGCTCCTTGCACAGCGGCATTCACATTTGTTGTTTGCAGTGTTGTTGTAGCCATGTTGGTCGCAGGATATGAGAGAGGCAAGGTGGGTGAGGTGATATCTTTTATTTGACCAACTTCTGTTGATGGAAAGAACAAGCTTTTGAGCTTCACAGGGCTCTTCCTCAGGTCTGGAGCGGGGAACCATAATGTCCAGGTCAAATACAAGGTGAGACAGATTGTTAAGCATAAGTGGTTTACATATGTTGTAGGAGACAACTTAAAATGAAGTGGGCAATTAACACTACTGCAGTGGTAGGACAAAGGAGGATAGAAAGCAGCAGGGTGTGTTACAAATTGTTGTAATGAGCCATGAAACTAGTGTCTCTGTTAAGACCATGGCTCTTGGTGTCCAGAATTATGAATTTAAGTTCCCAGGCTCATCTTTTGAAGGTGTTGTGCAGGTTTCCTTTGAGAACAAGGACTGGGAGGTCAGATATGGAGTGATCACTTTATGAAAAGTGTTCACGCCTGGGTGATAAGCTTTTTGTTGACAGGCTCATGAAGGAGCTGAGCAGGAGGAGGACTGGGGAAGCCATTGCTTTGTTAGATACATGGATATAGATTTACCATATAGAGGAGTCACACCTGTTTAATTGAGAGCAGAATATGGCCTACAGTGTGTAGGGTCAGATTTTTAAAAGTGCTCAGCGGCCAGCAGCTCCCATTATGATTAGTGTGGGGATTCTCAAAAGCACCTAGATGACTTAGCAGCACAAGTCCCATTGATTTCCAATGGGACTGTGCTCCTAAATCACTCAGGTGCTTTTGAAAATTCCACTCAATGGAAGCTGCTCAATATTAAACACTTTTGAAAGTCAGGTAACTTTTGGGAGGCTTAAAGGGAGCAGATCTCTTTTGAAAATCTGATCATATATTTAGGTGTCTAGATGAGAGCCATTTGGAGCTGAACTCCATAATTCTCTGTATGTCTAACTGGGAAGACGTTATCTTTAGACTAGGCGCCTTTAAAATGAATATGTAACAAACCAGATGGGTTTCATGGGGGGAAGAGTTGTTCTCTAGCAAAACTTACTTTTCACCTTGTTGAAACAAAACAAAAATGTTCTGGCATAAAGCCAGAATGTTTGCATTTTCTTGGAACTGTAAATTTCACTTTCTATGCTCTAGTATTGATGCAAACCAGCAAAAGCCAGTAAATTCCAAATGAAGATTAGCCCTCTGTTTTAACTAAAGCCATGTGCCTTTTTTAAACATTGCTTATAGATGGAGCCTCTGCCTTCATTTTGCATCATTTCTTGGCGTTTGTTGGAAGAAATTCCAGAGGACACCACCATGGGTTGGAGTCCTAATCTGGCAATCAAAAGACTAGACTTTTGAATACCTTTTATATTGCAACATTCTAATAGCAGCTTCTTATCCTCTCTGCATGTTACTTTCATATTTAAATTGTGTGTTGCTCTTATAAACTGTTAGTTATGGTGCTATCCTTGAAATTATTACTGAGGGTAATGTTTTCATTTTGCTAGAGTTATAGATAGTCTGTGTTTCACCTGAGTGCTAGCTAAGGCTAATGACTAATGTTTTGGAGGTTATTTTCCTCACACTGAGCATAAATTGCAAGTTAATAGCTCTACTGCAGTGGTTTTCAACCTGTGGTCCACATACCCCTGGGGGTCCGCAAACTATGTCTAAGGGGTCCATGAAAGGTTGTCGTTACCACAGAACAATGGTTTTCAACCTATGCTCCACAGGCCCCTGGGCATCTGTAGACTACCGTATGTCTAAGATTTCCAAAGGGGTCCGCACCTCCATTCAATATTTTTTAGGGGTCTGCAAATGAAAAAAGGTTGCAAACTACTGCACAACAGCACAAATACCTGAAGCAGACATTGAAAACCAGTGCTGCTGATCAACACTTCTATTTCTGTAAGGAGCTCTCTAGATTCTGTGTCTGTAGTGC